CCCCAAAACCCCAAAACCCCAAAACCCCGCAATGATGTAATTAATGTAATTAGAGATTATCCAAAGCATTTTAAATAATATTACTAAAGTAAATTTAAGAAAAAAATATGTCAAGTGTGTGTATATATTTGCCATAGGTGCGGTATCTCACATTTTAGCTCGTAGTCAATGACTGCTCTAACTTTTGAAGTTTTGACATTCAAAAACACTCTTTAAAATTTCCCTTCGCTAATTAGCATTTGTTAAACATTTCCCTGTGCATTTCCATAAAATTTAATGCTTATTAAATGTCTTTTTCCTTTCATTGTTTCTTAAAGCATCTGTTATGTATTCTATTAGGTTTATTAGTATGGCTAAAATTCAGGAAATCTGAGTGATTAATCAATTGTCAAAATGATTGCATGTTAAATGATGATATTTCGTACTTTTTAGTTTCCGACAAGAGGTTAGATTTGCTTATAAGTCTAAAGATCGAATATTTGTAGCCTCAATTAGGCTTTCTCATAAGTCCTAGTGAGTTTGATTATTACAGTTTATTCATCTTCTTCTTCTTCTTCGAATTAAAGTAAATCATTTCGAAGTTGTTTTTGGGAGGGTCAGTTAAAGTGATTCTGTATTTTATTATTAGTTTCTATTTTTGGAATAACCTAGCCATTACCATATACTTGATGATGTGTCTTTTATTAAAGGGATTATTAGATTTTTAGTTACTTGGAAGTAGAATCTTTTTATATCAATTATTATTAGTGTTTTTTTATTAGTTCTTTTTATCATTTAATTTTTAGTACTAGCAATGATAAATCCTCTGAATATCCAAGGAGATCTAGATTTCAATTCAACTCTTAGATAAACTATTTTTATTTTCTTAGCCATAGATAGTCCTGTTCAGTGCAGTTATATAAATCATATTTATCTATGAAGTCTTATGTAATTTAAGTTTCCGGATATTCTTGAGGTTCATTAGTTAATGTTACCATATTTTTAATTTAGATTATTAATTTTATCTGAATCAAAGGTAAATTCTAATTAATGGGGTTTTGGGGTTTTGGGGTTTTGGGGTTTTGGGG